CTTAGTCTTTCTATGGATGTCCCGTCTTCTAACACTCATTGGGAAAAAAGCTGCACTTGCAGAGCTCAGACAGTGTTGTATTTCAGTGTCAATGTTAATGTCTGTAGACAGTCCACGTTTCACAGGCATATAGCAGGCTTGGGAGGACAATAGCTTTATAAACAATCACCTTGGTATCCCTATGGATGTCCCGGTCCTCAAACACTCTCTGCTTCATTCGGAAAAATGCTACACTCGCCAAGCTCAGGCAGTGTTGTATTTTGGACTCAATGTTGACTTGTGGAGAGGGGTCAACCAAGGGAGCAAATATGGTCAACATTTCTAATGTTACACCATTAAGTTGTATTTCTGGCATTGGAAAGGGATTGGCTATCAACCCCATTGCCTTCATGAACATCAGACACAGTCACAAGCTGAACTATAAGTGCAGCATTTTTCCAAATGAAGCAGAGAGTGTTTGAGGACCGGGACATCCGAAGGGATACCAAGTGGCTTGTTTATATAGCTATTGTCCTTCCAACCCTGCTATACGCCTGCGAGACGTGGACTGTCTATAGACATCAACATTGACACTGAAATACAACACGGCCTGAGCTCTGCGAGTGCAGCATTTTTCCGAATGAAGCAGAGAGTGTTTGAGGACCGGGACATCCGAAGGGATACCAAGTGGCTTGCTTATATAGCTATTGTCCTCCCAACCCTGCTATACGCCTGCGAGATGTGGACTGTCTACAGACGTCACATGCAACTCCTAGAACGATTCCATCAGCGCTGCCTCTGGAAAATCTTGCAAATCTATTGGGAAGACAGGCAGACAAATGTCAGTGTGCTGGAAGAAGCAAAGACCACCAGCACTGAAGCAATGCTCCTCCGCCATCAACTCCGCTGGACCGGCCACGTTGTCCGGATGCCCAACCACCGTCTCCCAAAGCAGTTGCTCTACTCCGAACTCAAGAACGGAAAACGAGATTCTTGTGGGTTTTTTCGGGCTATAGAGCCATGTTCTAGAGGCATTTCTCCTGACGTTTCGCCTGCATCTATGGCAAGCATCCTCAGAGGTAGTGGGGTCTGTTGGAATTAGGACAATGGGTTTATATATCTGTGGAATGGCTGGGGTGGGGCAAAGAGCTCTTCTCTGCTGGAGCTAGGTGTGAATGTTTCAACTGACCACCTTCATTAGCATTTGAAGGCCTGCCTGAGCCTGGGAAAATCTGTTGCTGGGAGGTGTTAATCTGTGCCTGGTTTTTTCCTCTCTGTTGTTTAGCTGTTATAATTTTAGAGGTTTTTAATACTGGTAGCCAGATTTTGTTCATTTTCATGGTCTCTTCCTTTCTGTTGAAATTGTCCACATGCTTGTGTATTTCAATGGCTTCTCTGTGTAGCCTGACATGGTGGTTGTTGGTGTGGTCCAGCATTTCTGTGTTCTCAAATAATATGCTGTGTCCAGGTTGGTTCATCAGGAGCTCTGCTATGGCTGACTTCTCTGGTTGGAGTAGTCTGAAGTGCCTTTCATGTTCCTTGATGCGTGTTTGGGCAATGCTGCTGCGTTTGGTGGTCCCTATGTAGACTTGTCCACAGCTGCATGGTATACAATGGTAGACTCCTGCAGAGATGAGAGGATCCCTCTTGTCCTTTGCTGAACGTAGCATTTGTTGGATATTCTTGGTGGGTCTGGAGATTGTTTGTATGTTGTGTTTCCTCATCAGCTTCCCTATGTGGTCAGTGGTTCCCTTGATGTATGGCAGGAACACTTTTCCTCTGGGTGGATCTTCATCTTGACTCTCGTGGCTTGTTCTTGGTCTTGCAGCTCTTCTGATGTCTGAGGTGGACATTGTCCCATTGTCCTATTTCCAACAGACCTCACTACCTCTGAGGATGCTTGCCATAGATGCAGGCGAAACGTCAGGAGAAATGCCTCTAGAACATGGCCCTATAGCCCGAAAAAACCCACAAGAACCTAGTGATTCCAGCCATGAAAGCCTTCGAAAATACAGGAAAGCAGAATGTTGGTGGGCAGGAAAAGAGATTGAAAGACGGGCTCAAAGCCAACCTTAAAAACTCTGGCATAGACACTGAGAACTGGGAAGCCCTGGCCCTTGAGCGCTCCAGCTGGAGGTCGGCTGTGACCAGCAGTGCTGTAGAATTTGAAGAGGCATGAATGGAGGGTGAAAGAGAGAAACGTGCCAAGAGGAAGGCGCGTCAAGCCAACCCTGACCAGGACCGCATTCCACCTGGAAACCAATGTCCTTACTGTAGGAGAAGATGTGGATCAAGAATAGGGCTCCACAGTCACCTACAGACCCACCTATGGAGGGCCGTCATCCTCGGACTACGAGGGATCGCCTAAGTAAGTAAGAAGGGGTTTCTGGGCTTGGGTCTGTTGGCACTGGGGATGAGGGTTTTCCTGGGTGAGAGACTGGAATGTTTCTCCTGCAAATTCACAAGGCCACATTCCTGGGAGAGACCCTCAACAGTCTTCTGAGGATGATTTGTCAGGTGCAGAATTTAATGAGAGTGAAGATAGAAAGCAAGGCTTTTGTAAACAGAGACAAAGTTCTCAGGTGCAACAAGGGTCAATTCGTCTGCAGGAAAAGAGAGATAAGGGTAAGAGAAATGCTTTCCTTTCGGTTCTGGGGTCAGGAAAGGCTTTATATTGATACCAGGGAAAGACTTCGCTCAGTCTCATCAATGTTGGGATTTCATGACGGTCTTGTTTCCAAGTGTTCCTAGTTTCATGTTCCATGTTTTGCCGGGCTTTTGATCGGTGTATTGGTGGATAGGTAAAGGTAAAGGTAGTCCCCTGACATTAAATCCAGTCGTGTCCGACTCTGGGGTGTGGTGCTCATCTCCATTTCTAAGCCGAAGAGCCGGCGTTGTCCGTATTTATTATTATTTATTTATTTGGGGTTCTTGTACCCTGCCCTTCTCACCCCGTAGGGGACCCAGGGCGGCTTACAACAGCAAAGGCACGCTTAGATGCCTGCCACACAAAACAATCATCACAGAAGTACAACAATTCATAGTTACCACAATTCAAGCCATTATCCCAATAAAACAATAAAAAATCGATAAAATCAATACAAACCTAATTCTTCCTCCTACCCTATCAGTATACACTAACTCGTAGATCTGTTTTTGATTCCACTTCAACAATCCTGCTGATCTTGCACATCTGATTGTCTTATTTAATTGTCTTATTTAATTGCCTGGTTGCCCAAAGGCCTGGTTCCACAACCATGTCTTCACCCTCCTCCTGAAGGAGAGGAGGGATGGTGATGCTCTGATTTCCCCCGGGAGTGAGTTCCACAGGTGAGGGGCCACCACTGAGAAGGCCCTGCTTCTCGTTCCCACCAGCCTCACTTGTGACAGTGGTGGGATCGAGAGCAGGGCCTCCCCAGATGATCTCAAACTCCGAGGTGGGACGAAAAGGGAGATACGTTCGGACAGATACACTGAACAGATACGTAGACACCTCCAAGGTCATGTGGCCATTGGCATGACTGCATGTAGCGCCGTTACCTTACCTATTGATCTACTCACATTTGCATGTTTTTGAACTGCTAGGTTGGCAGAAGCTAGGGCGGACAGCGGAAGCTCACGAATCGAACCTGCGACCTTTCGATCAACAAGCTCAGCAGCTCAGCGCTTTAACCCACTGCGCCACCGAGGGGTCCTGTATTGGTGTATAGACACCCCAAAAGCCCTCGAGGCCCCCTCTGTCCCCCCAACTGCGGCCAGGTCAAACAGGTCACAGAATAAACCCCCCAAAAGCCATTTCCTTCCCTTCAAACAGACCCCAAAATCCCCTTGACTGAAAGGGAAGACCCCCAACTCCATTCATTTCCACCAAATCGGCTCCCTTTGAAAACCTAGGCCATTATATGCTAATGAAGGTGGTCAGTTGAAACATTCCCACGTAGCTCCAGCAGACAAGAGTCCTTTGTCCCACCCTGGTCATTCCACAGATATATAAACCCTTTTCCCTAGTTCCAACAGACCTCATTACCTCTGAGGATGCTTGCCATAGATGCAGGCGAAACGTCAGAAGAGAATGCCTCTAGAACATGGCCCTATAGCTCAAAAAAACCTACAACAACCCAGACATCTAATCACCTCTCAACAAAAGTTTGCTCCAAGCACTGTTAGGCCATTATATGCTAATCAAGCTGGTCAGTTGAAACATTCACACCTAGCTCCAGCAGACAAGAGTCCTTTGTCCCACCCTGGTCTTTCTACAGATATATAAACCCATTTTCCTAGTTCCAACAGGCCTCACAACTCTGGGGATGCTTGCCATAGATGGAGGCGAAACGTCAGGAGAGAATGTCTCTAGAACATGGCCATATAGCCCGAAAAAACCTACAACAACCCAGACATCGAATCACCTCTCAACAAAAGATTTCCTCAGGCAATGCCAGGCCATCAAATGCTAATCAAGGTGGTCAGTTGAAACATTCCCACCTAGCTCTAGCAGACAAGAGTCCTTTGTCCCACCCACAGATATATAAACCCATCTTCCTAGTTCCAACAGACCCCACAACCTCTGAGGTCACAGAATAAACCCCCCAAAAGCCATTTTCTTCCCTTCAAACAGACCCCAAAATCCCCTTGACTGAAAGGGAAGACCCCCAACTCCATTCATTTCCACCCAATGGGCTCCCTTTGAAAAGCTAGGCCTCAAACCCACCCAGAAGGCGTTGTACTCCCAATCAGGCACCTCAATAGACACCAAAAAGACCTTGAGGACCCAAAGCTAGGCCTCAAACCCACCCCAAAGGCCTTCTGCTTCCAATCAGGCACTGCAATAGACACCCAAAAACCCTCTGAGGACCCCAAGCTAGGCCTCAAACCCACCCCAAAGACCTTCTGCTTCCAATCAGGCACTGCAATAGACACCCAAAAACCCTCCGAGGACCCCCCCCCCCCCGACTGCGGCCTAGTCCGTCAGGCTTCTAAATCGAGCGGGAGAAGGCGGCCCGCGGCCTCCGGGGCTTGCTCAC